AATGGTGGTGGTGGTTACGTATTAATCCAATAAGGGCAACTGCATTTGCTTTTCATATGAGTATTCTAACTTCCAACACTTCCTTCCCTCCAAAGAGACTTGTTTAAGTATCACTGCAATGCAGATACTGGGAAACTGCTGTTCCTGACGTGTCAGAAGCTTTGTCAAATGTTGGCTAATGACGTTCCAATGACAGCCCCCACGGGACTAGATCTTCCTTCTGAGATACATGATCTAGCATGCCAGGCTGCCACCATCTGCAGTCCAGGTGACAAGCTTTATAATCTACATGGTTTTGTATCCTCTGCTTCATTTCTTACTTATCCCCTAAATGCTGTCTCCTTACAGCTGGACATTGCAGTAGGGAGAGAAGTGATCATTACCTCCATTCCACAAAGGGACAAATTATAACTGATTCTTGATGGGCATTACTGTTGTAAAATATTTCCAAAATTAATGGTGTCATTTCTGACTAATGATGATACTCACTTTCAGAAGATTGTGAAATTCCTTGAGTCCCCATATCTGATTGGTTTTTTTCCTTAATGGAGGTACTGGGGATTGAACCTGGGACCCTGTGCATGCTAAGAACCTGCTTTACCACTGAGCTATACCCACCCCCTCCCCATATCTGATCTTTCCAGCCAAGCTTAAGAAAAATGTTGAACTCCGTTGTTTAGGGTAGTCAAAGCTATGTGGAAACCTTTCTCTACTTTGAGGCCTTCCTTGGAATTCTGAATGGTAATGATTAAAAGGTGGTTTTCATCATTCTAAACACATGAAATATCAGTTTAATGATTTTTCTCCATTTTCTTTCAGATTTTCTACTAGATGCCTTAGAACTCTGTAAATATACTCTAACAGCAGTAGAGCTTTCCAGACAGTGCCAAATGGATGACTGTGGAATTCTAATGAAGGTGAATTGCTTTTGAATTTCTTTTCCTGAAACAAAACCCCTGCCCAATCTATTTTATACCACTTTTAAATCACTTGCATAGTTTATAAAAATACTGAATCTAGCTCCTGTATCTTCTAATTCTAGGCCAGAGAGTTACTTAAGGGCATAAGACCACCTCTCTTTTCTAGTCACATTTATTGGCTTTAACTAGCACTATCTTTTGAAACATTGGGCTTCAAAGGTATCTCTGGACATAGTCCAGAGTAACAATTTAATTTAAAGCAGCATTGTCCTAAGCCATAGACCAGAAGAAACAGACTACATAGCTGTATTTGACCATCAAAACTGCATTTGGCTCTAATATATCTGATTCTGGATTCTGCTTAATGAAGAGGGTGTCTGTTTTGGAGCGTCCTTATCTGTGTCTTCTGTATGACTTGGTATTCAGACTTCTTTTGGAACTCATAAAGATCCGTATGAAGAGTGGTCTTACAGCGACTTCTTCAGTGAAGATGGAATAGTTCTCGAGTCACAGATGGTGCTCCCTGTTATCTATGAATTGATTTCATCACTTGTGCCTCTAGCTGGTAAATCTCATTTGGGTTGTGTTTTTTTTTTTTATTGTGTGTTTCTGCTTCATGCAAATTTAAACTATGGAGATTTGGAACTCGAACCATACACGGTAGCAGGGATGTGTCTCTCATAGGCATAATGCTGAACAAATGAATACACCCCGTGTGATTCCATTTACGTGACGTACAAGGACAGGCTATGCTGTTGGAAGTCAGGGTAGTGGTTACCTTGGGGGGTTGATGGGGAGACGGGACAGGGTGGGGCTCCTGGAGGACAGCAGTGCTCTGTTTCTTGGTCTGGATGTATACTTCTCTGTGTCTTTTTCTGTATATATACTTAAGTTTTTTTTAAGCAGCAGTTTACTTTAGAACATTATTTGATAATTGCACAATATTTAAGTATCTCTGGGAGTATGTGCTCTAAGAGTTATTTTATTTAGTGTTATTTAATTTGTTCTCTTTTACAGAAGGCAAGAGATACCCCTTGGATTCTACAAGTTTACCATACTGCTCCATCAGTGAAGGTATTTGACATCAGAAATGTGTAACCTTTGTTTTATTATTTTATAAATACACCAATATAGAAATTTCTTGAAATCCTGAATATAAATCTGATATAGTGTCCTTAATGTAATTACTTAGTTATTACTGTTACGTTGTTACTCTTCCAAAGGGACAGGAGACTGTGTCATTTGGCTTCTGGTGTTAACTTTTATGAATCTGTCCATAAATTTTGGTCTTCCAAGTAGAGAAGTGGTTTTCCTCAGCTAATGATTTAGGCATCTCAAAATACGCAAGTTACAATCAAAGTGCTTCATTACCTGGTGGACTTTTTCTGGTTTAGATCAAGCCTTGTGTTAACTCTCTCATTTACTGACTTTGAGACTCAATTCTGTGACCATTACCTGCTTTGAAGAAGTTGGCTGTTCCTGAAAACAGTCTCCAAATGGGACCCTTCTTTGTTTAAAAAAAAAAAAAATCTAAATGTAAAATGACTTTTACCCAAGTAAAATGCTTTTATCATTTCACAGGAGACGGCCTTATGTTACCTGTTATCAATTCCATCGCCGCCCTGCTTCAGAACCTTCAAGAATCTAGCCAGTGGGAGCTGGCCCTAAGATTTGTAGTTGCTTCTTTTGGTACCTGTCTTCAGCACTCCATGTCAAACTTCATGAATGCCAATTTGAGTGAAAAGGTACAGTTTTGAGAACAAATACTTTCACTTCGGATAAATACAGGTACAAAAGCACTGCCAGACAAAGTAATTTGAAGCCCACATTTTCCTACTTGGCTCTGTAGCAAAGAAATGGATAATCTATCAGATTTAGGCAACATTTGTTGAACACCTATGAAGATTCAGGTATAGTTCCAGGTGCTCAGACACATTTTGATACCCAATCTTTACAACAACCCTGAGAGTCTCCATTTTGCAAATAAAGAAACTCAGATTCAAGAAGGTAATAAAAGTAATCTGAGATTTTTGGTTGCAATGGTAAGTCCTCTTGCTCCATTTGTTTTATTTTATTGTGCTGTTTGTTTTATTGTGGCCCCAATTACTACAATTATTACCTTACAGTGTCATTGAAAAGATTCTAGAAGACAAACTACCTGTTGATAACTTGCTTATGAAGCTGGTCTCAGAGGAAATTGCACTCATTTCTATTACTCTTTTGATATTTACTAAATGTCAATTTTTTAAAAATTAACTTGATTGAAGTATAGCTTTTAAAATTAAAATGCACATGTTTTAGGTGTATCAGCCAGTGTATTCACCTTGTCACCAACACCACAATCAAGATATAGAACATTTTAAAAATTTCCATCCTGCCTCTTCCCAGCCCATTCCCCAGCAAGCCCCAGCTTTCTGTCCTTATAGATTAAATGCCAATACTTTTTGCATATAGTGGTGAATTTTCAGAGCTGCTTAATATTTAAGAAAAGATTTTCAAAATGATGCATAGAAGTGGGTCTGAAGATTCTTTTGTTCTTTTCTAAAGTTGTTTGGAGAGGCCACATTAGTTAAATCCAAGCATGTTGTTATTGAACTGAAAGAGAAAGCCGTTAAGTTTATCAGGGGGACTGCCACAACGCTATTGCACAAGGTGAGTTTTTGTTTTTGGTGAGCTCTCTTTCTGTCTGTCTCTCTCTCTCTCTCCTGGTTGCTTCTGATTTCTCAGTGAGGGTGAGAGTGAGGCAGGGGAGGGGATTTGGGGATTTGAAGAGAAGTGATGAAACAGTCATGCAGGAGAGAAGGTAAGGGTTCTGTGTCCTAGGGAACTTGTGATAGCTGCTTTCCTTAAATTTATAATAGTGACAAAAGACATTAAAATTAAGCAAACAAGTTTGAACAGTGTTACTATAGTTTTTCATGATACCTTATTCTTTCATTAATTTAATTTAGTGACAAATAAGCCTTTAGAGACTAAATTTTGTTTTGACTGTGAAGAATTTGCTTCTCTCTTTTTTCCCCTCCTAACGGAGGCACTGGGGATTGAAACCACGACCTCGTGCTCACCAAGCACGCGCTCTACCACTGAGCTATATGCTCCATTCCCAAGAATTTGCTTCTCTTCATGCTTTCTTCTCACAGGTATTTAATTGTCGCCTGGTGGATCTTGACTTGGCATTGGGGTACTGCACTCTCCTACCCCAAAAGGAAGTCTTTGAAAATCTCTGGAAGCTCATAGATAAAGCATGGCAGAATTACGACAAAATATTGGTATGAGCTAAGGAAGCACACCTTCGTTTCTTGAAATATTAAAGATTTAAGGGAAGAAATAAAGTTGGCTTTGCCTCCAGCTCTGTAAGATTTAGCAGAAGAAATGTCAGGCTAACTCATGTGGTTTCTACCAGCTTTTCCTTGACTAATGACGCACCAGGGAACGTATATGCAAGCCCTAAGCATTGCTTCACCCAGAGAATCATGATATTTCTTATTTCTTAAATCTGTACGCAGCCACTGAACGTCACTGCTTATACTTAACTCTAGTGTATTTGAAACATTAGGCCTATGAGCCTGTTCCTTTTTCGTAGGACAGGTTTAACAGATGCAAAACCTTTCTTTGATGTTTGTTTTAAAATTTGCCTCTTGTGGGGATTTCACTTGCAGGATAGCTAAAATTTGGCCTTCTCTAATCAAGAAATCCAGGCTGAATTCATGGCCTCATACGAAAAGCCGAATTACCTAAATGTTGTATAGGTAAAGACCCTGTACAAAGCAATAGGTAACGTTCCAACTGTTACAAAGAAGGATTATGGCTTTTATTGTTGGGCTTTGTATAAAAGGTAGGAGAACATAGTCTATTTGCTCTTAAATTTTAATTCTATTTTAATTTTTTAGGCAATATCTCTGGTGGGCTCTCAGCTGGCCAGTCTCCATCAGGAAATAGAAATGGAGCTTAAGTTCTGTGAACTCAGTACTGATGCCCAGTGGGGCATTCGTCTCGGTAAACTTGGTGTGAGTATTCAAGCACCATGAAGTTTCACCCATTCCGATAATCACCAAACTGGAAGACTTAAAGCAAAGATCCTTGCTCGCTTCGACAGCACGTGTACTAAAATTGGGACAATACAGAGAAGATTAGCATGGCTCCCGTGCAAGGCTGACACGCAAATTTGTAAAGCTTTCCACATTTTTAAAAACACAAATGAACTTATTTACAAAACAGAAATGAACTCACAGACATAGAAAACAAACTCATGGTTTCTAGGGGAGAGGGGGATAAAACTGAAGTTCGAGATTTGCAGATACTAACTACTATATATAAAATAGATAAACAATAAGTTTATACTGTATAGCACAGGCAACTATATTTAATATGCTTGTAGTAACCTATGATGAAAAAAATATGAAAAGGAACATGTGTATGTACATGTGTGACTGAAACATTATGCTGTACACCAGAAATTGACACAACATTGTAAACTGACTATACTTCAATTTGAAAAGAAAAAGAAAACAAAGACCTCATTATCCTTTACTTTTGGAGAGGTTGTATATGAACTGACTCATCAGTGTTAGTTATATAAGTACACACTTTGGTGCTTCCAAAGAAATAAGAACCTTTTGCCTCATTTTCTTTTTGCTGTATTCTTAAGGAAATCAGGAGGCTTGACAGTTCATCTGCTTAGCTTCCTCACTTAGAGGAATACATCTAGTATTAATTGACATTTAAGCTATTCCAGGCCTACTCTACAGCTTCAAGCTTTTCTGTGTGCTATTTGGTGAAGGATAATATTAAAATGTATATGCAGCGGTACTAGGCACCAAGAACTACTAGAGAAAAGTTAGTGGCCCTTATTTTTCAATTTGTAAAAACAAACAAAATCCTGTTTTCTTTACTATGAATGTAAAACATTTTACTTTACTTGCAAATAATTGACTTATCGGGAATATAACTACTGCAGAAACGGTATATGTTTTGAAGTCTAGCTCCTGTGTAGCGATAGGACTGTTTGATGCTAACTGCCAGGCTTTGCTGATGAAGAGCCGAGGGTTAGTGTGGCTAAGAGAGATTTTTGGGCCTGTAGCCAAATATACCCAAAATTTCAGAGTGATGGTTATTAAAAGTAAAAGCTGAGGGAGCTATAGAATAATGTTTCTCTGTATATAAAAAAAAAGGATAGTAAAAAGGCAGGTCACGAAGGCACCCTTACTCTGATGCATTTCAGTTTAACAGGGTTTTTCTTTTGCTCTTTTTATTTCTAGATTTCTTTCCAGCCGGTTTTCAGGCAACATTTTCTCACCAAGAAAGACCTCATTAAAGCTCTTGTGGAGAATATAGATATGGACACAAGCCTCATTCTGGAATATTGCAGGTAATTCTTTAGACTTCAGTGGTATTTTTGTTGTTAGCTTAACAGACTGGTAATCCTGGGAGAACACAGTAATAACAGTGATAGTTACACGTGGTCCGTAGACCTCTGATGTTTGCTTTTACTCACCGCAAACTAAGTAAATCCAGAACCAGATTAAACTCTCTTACGATATCACCTTTTAAATTCCCTGTATAGTGTTTCCCCAGCTTGCCTCATGATAAGCATGACCTCGGGCACTTAATTAAAACTAGTTTCCTGGGTCCCTCTGTGGTGGTTCTGGCTCAGCAGGTCTGGGCTGAGGCGCAGGAATCAGCTCTTAGTAGGATCTCTGGATGATTCCTGTCATCAGGAGGTCTGGGAATATTCTTCTGAACAATTAAACTTCTAAATCAGATCGACTTAGGGGGCAAGGTCATCTTAAAAATCAGTGAAAAGTATGATTTAGGGAGAATTTTTTAAAAATAGTAAGTGAATTTAAAAAAACTAAGACTAAATGTTATTTGCAGATGTAGCTTCTGGGATGAGAAGGATCAAATGATTTATAAATCTCTGATGTTCTTATCTGATGAATTCGATAACCAATTTGCTGGTCCCTTACTAGTTACTAAGTGCTTTCACACACATCATCTCATTAAGTTTTTTGTATATTCTCACCAATTTATGTCTGAGAAGGCAAACCCATATTAGGTGCCCTGCTCAAAGTCAGATAATAAGTGACTGCTTCTAGAACACCGAGGGCGCTGCAAGCCTCATCCAGTTGGTGACGGATTAGTGGAATCTGACTTCTTGGTAATGCGGCTTCTTAGTGCATTTCCTCCAGACAGAGATCTCGTTCTTTGTCCCTGCGGACGGTGTGGAGTGGAGTAATGGCCCTGGCTGTCACCATTTGCACCTGCGAGTCAGGGACCGTAGGATGCTCACAGCTCTAACTACCACTGACTTTCCTGCACCCTGATACAACCAAATTATCCCATCCTTCGGTTTGGACTGCTACAAATCCATAATAAGATTATGCATACTCGCTCTTCTTTATTAATTCAAACTCCTGACCGATTTTTGCCTGTTGTTTTATGGCATTGATCCTTTTCTGAAATTTAAATAGCTATTATTACGTCAGGCTCGTTTCCCAGCTGCTGTGCTCACACGGCTTTGATGATCTGTATGTTTCACAGCAACACTCTTGCCTTAGGCAGTCCCGCTGAATAAATTTAGATGACCTTTAGAATTTCAGGGAATGACTTTAAAATTACTATACTTAAAGCTTTTCATGATGTTTCACTTATTCTGTATAGCAGATTAAACTATCCCTGTCTTATTAATAAGGGTTAAAAGGCATTTCATTTGTCACTTTGTCTATACTAATCTGATTTGTAATTTTTAAATGTACTTACTACTTTTTCTAATTCAGATGAAACATAATAAAATTAGAGTCCTACATAATCCCACCCCTCGGATAATCACTGTTAAAAGAGAGTTTGGCTTGTATTGTTGATGTTTTTTTTCCTTACGCACTCACTAACATGCATTTTTAAAAAGACTTATTGAAAACAGAATTGTGCATCATCTTGTTGCATGTATCATTCACTTAATAAAATAAAAATGTCTTCTCAGATTAGTACATGTAGCTCATATCTGTTCAACCATGTGGTGGCCCTTTGTATGAATAAGTTGTTTAACCAGCCCCCTGTTGATGAATAATTGTTTCCAATTTTTAAATATTACAAGCAGTTGTTGCAGGACATCCTTACCTGTGTGTCTCTGCTACTTTTTGTGAAGTGTATAAAAGTGTAATAGCCCTATTAGAGGACGTGTCTTCAATTTTATTACAAGTTTCCCTCAGATATTGTGCTATTTACCTGTCTACCAAGAATATTTGATTTTTTTTAAAGGCAATAAGTGACTCCAATGACAGGTAGATGATCTGATTATGAGACTGGACAGTGAGAGGGTTAGATTTCAGCGGTGGGGGTGCGTACCTAAGTTTTCTGTGAGAAAGTCTGCGTGGAAGTGCACACAGTCGGGGAGATTCATGCATAACTGAACACTCTTTTCAGCACGTTTCAGTTGGACTGTGATGCGGCTCTTCAGCTGTTCATTGAAACACTCCTCCACAACACGAATGCCAGCCAGAGCCAGGGAGATGCACGCGCGGAATCCACGAAGCAGCAGCATCCCAAACTCCTGGCCAAAGCCGTCGAAATGGTTCCTTTATTGACAAGCACAAAAGATTTGGTCATCAGTCTTAGTGGAATACTGCATAAGGTAGATGAATGCTGAAACCACCCCTCCCACCCTTAATCATAGATGTATAGCAACAAATTGGAAATGTGAGTCCGATATTTTATGTAATGTTTTAATTTTGAAATAATTTTAGATTTCTGTATTTTTATTATAGTTTAATACAGCAGTTTTCCTGTCTTTTTTTTTTTCAAAATAAGAATAGCCCTTTTCTCCTTCAGATTTTTGAAAATAGCACATATTCTTTGAAAGAGATCAAACTAGAGGGGAAGGTGTAAGTCAAAAAGTTAAATTTCCTTGTAACCCCACTCTCATGGGTAAAAATGTTAATAGTTTGGTGAATATTTTGGACTATATAAACTATCCAGTTAGTCTCTTTTTTCATTTAGCATAATTGTCTTTACATGTCAATACATGTCCATCTGTCTCATTTTTAGCAGACATGTAAGTTATTATTCCACTGTATAGATGAAACATCCTATATTTAACCAGGCCTTTATGGATGGACATTTAAGTTGTTTGCAAATTTTGTTATTGTAAGCTGTTACAATGAATATATTCATACATACATATTTGCCCCATTCTCTGATTATTTTTTTTTTAGCAGATATTCTGTGAATTGGAACTTTTAGGTCAAGGGGTAGTTTGGTGAAGGAGTGAATATGGATGGAAGAGGAAATAAAATTATAAGACTACAAGAAATACTTTAGTGTTATCTTTTGCCTGTAATTCAGTCAAAAATTATATAGACTTGCTCAAAACTTCTAGGTGCTGTAGAGATCATCTTCCTACATTGTCCAGTGTTCTTATTCATGTGAATTTAGTTGGCATTTAAAACATTAAAAAAAAAAGAAAAGTAACGGTGTGTGGGCAGAAACAGAGAACAAAGAGAATCCTTCCTTTCTTTTTATAAATGTGTATAGAAGCCACCCAGCTAGTTCTTGCATCTTAGTATATGGTTATAGTTGGAATGAAATCCTTTGAAAAGGTTTTGCTTGGAGACCCACACTTCTAGTTAACATCATTTCCAGGAAGAAGTCAGTTTTCTCCTATTCATATTTTCCCATCATAAAAGGAAGAAATAGAATTTTAATTTAAAAACCTTATAAAATTATAAAATTTTATTGCTTGTCTTTCTATGTTTTTAGTACCTTAAGAACATTTTTCTTTATTCAAACAACATTGCCTCGTGCAGCTTTTTTAAGAAATCGCTTTTGAGACATTTTGAAGCATGTATGTTTATTCTACTAGAGCTTATTTTAGATTTGAGCTAAATTTAGATTGTTAAAGAATAATCTAATTTAATATTGTAGTGCACTGAGATGTTATATTTGTAATCTGTGCTGATGAATGTAACTGAATAAAACCATTGACCAGCCTGGCAGTGTCTTCTCCAGTTTTGATATGTTTTTGTGTTTTTGCAGTTGGATCCCTATGATTATGAAATGATTGAAGTTGTCCTGAAAGTTATCGAAAGAGCTGATGAAAAGATAACCAACATTAATATTAATCAGGTATAAATAACAAATAGAGGTTTTAAATTTATGTTTGCATTTGGATCATTAAAACATTACAGTTACC